CCTCTCTAACCTAACTTTCTGGAGTAAAAATGTGCCTCACGATTTCATTTTCAAGTATTTTTTCATTACTCTTTGGACTATCATAGCTGAAAGTCTTCTCTCACGGACCAAAGATCTTATGGATTGAGTTGGATCTTTACTAATTGATCTCTTTAGTTTTAATTTGAAATTATGATTCCTTATGATTATTCAACGTTCTCTTGGTGGTTCTTGAATTAAATTTTAAGATGGAAGTAAGAGTAAGAATGTTGAAGGCCTGAATGATCTTTTTCCTCTCAGCATTGCTCAATTGGGAAGACAGTAGGGCTGACACAAAACGAATGTAACCTGTAATCTTTGTAGCGGAATTATTCAAAGGTAACCTCTGGGTTTCTTATGACAAATGGAGTCAAGATAAGTAAAGTTCTTATCTGAAAACCTGGAAAAAAGAAACTCTATTAGTTTAGTGTTTTTTTTTTTTTCAGGTATTTTGCAGGATGGGCAATTATGCTGTAATACGATTTGAACAATTTGGCACCTGGTATATATATATATATATATATATATATATATATATATATATATATATATATATATATATATATATATTTAATTTAAAAAAACAGACCACTTTAAGGTACCATTACAATAATTTATTTCACCAAAATCCTTTTGAAGGACTCCGGATCATCAGTTAACAATTCCAACAACGAAATGAAAGGAAAAATCGGATTAGAAATTGATGGGTAGTGTAATTTCGGTGAAATAAATTATTGTAATGGTACCTTAAAGTGGTCTGTTTTTCATTAAATATTAGCTCTGGATTCACATTGAGCTCTCAGGATTTCATCCTCCTTGGAATTACCCATTCGGTTTACCAAGTTCTTCGTAACTTAAATATATATATATATATATATATATATATATATATATATATATATATATATATATATATATGTGTGTGTGTGTGTGTGTGTGTGTGTGTGTGTGTGTGCAGCACAAAATTATCCAAAAAGTCGTGTAAAATTTAACGGAAAATATCTATTTTTTATTTTTGCAATTTTCGAATAGGGTGTCTATCGGTGCTCAAGGATCGTGGCCTCCCTGAGAGAACACCGTTCATTGTGCATCGTGATAGGCGAGAATTCAGGATCTGCTCGGTGATGATGGAATGTCACTAGTTTTGTTTTGGAGGCATTGAATACAACCCCCCATCCACTGATCTGTTAAAGATAGCTCAGAGGAGAGATCAGTTGTCAAGCTCTGGCCATTTTGGAAGTGCACCCTTATATATCGTTGTATCATCAGCATAGATATTCCCAAAAGATCGGTGTATATACTTAGATCATTTATCTAAAGCAGAAAGAGAGTTGAACCGAGAAGCGAGGCTTAGGGGACACCTGCGTTGATCACTTGAGCCTCGGAGAATTGATCGTTTACAACTATCGTCAGGGAGTTGGGCTTCACATTTTTGCTATCCAGACACTATTCTGCATATTTATACGTCTAGCATTTTTCCATACTTAGAATATTGCTGCTACATATGGTCCGGTGCTCCAAATCCAAAGAAGTATCAACAATATTATTGGTCCTGATCTGGCATCTTAGCTTCACTCATTTTCCCATCGCCGTAAAGTTACTTCCCTGTGCCTTTTCTATAAATACTTTCATGTTAATTGCTGGGGTGAGCTTTCGCTATGGTACCTAGATTTTATGAATTTTATGCTCAATCCAAGACTGACTAAATGCAACCGTAAATTCTATGCTAAACGTTTCTTTTCTCGCTTGTAATTCAGAAAAAAAGACAAATATAAAAAGTAAACGACAACCAAAGTCACTGAAAAAGGTACTGAAGAGTGCAAATCTGCAGGCCACAATTAAAGAGCCTCAGGTGAAAAGGTTCAACCACTGCGCTGTATGCAGCTACCTATTAGAAAGCCACGAATTTAGCTTCAAAGGCGTCTCCAAATTAAAAATTAAAAACAATATCTCGTGAAAATCAGATAAATTAATATATATTATAACATTCAAAGGTTGTCACGAACACTGCATTGGTCAAACCGGCCGGACACTCCGACAAAGTATGACGAAAACGGTTAAAGTAAAACGATATTTTTCTGAAAACGCACATTTAAGAAAAACAGTTTTAATAATTCTCTGTAAACGTACATGTATGATAAATATTACACATAAATATATAAAAAATTAGATGCTTTTCCAAATTTTATTATTATTTCTCTCTCTCTCTCTCTCTCTCTCTCTCTGTCATGATATATATAGTGGGGCAAATTCTAGGTAACTAGTGTAGCCCTCTAAAAGGGCTTCATCGGATTGCCGATTAAGTCTTCTTAGAGAAGGAAACGCGTTAAATAGAATTTGTTTAATTTTGTCATTCTAATATTAACCTAACCAGTAATTATTTATGCCAAACAAAACTTATCAATTTCTGGAGGACAACACGTTTCAGATGTGAAATATTTTATAAATTACACACACAAAACAAAATTTCCCATTCGCTCTGCCGTACGGGGTAGGATCTCTGACTGATGCTAAATCGGTCGGGTTTCGATCCCAGTTAGAAGCAATCGAACGTCTAGACACAAGAAGAAGCGTGATGCAGCGAAACATGTATCATGCATGTTCATGAAATTATATATATAAGAGGGCGACAGTTTTTTTTATGCATAAACATGGCCTGATCATTGCGTGTGTATATATATATATATATATATATATATATATATATATATATATATATATATATATATATATATATATATATATATATATATGGGTAGAGTAATGGTAGCGGCTTGGAATCGGAGAGCCGATGTCAAATCCATTACATTCACTTACTTGGGAAAGGTGTGAATCTATTCTCCCTCCAGCTATGGGTAAATAGCAGGACAGACTGGATTCTATAGCATTGGATGGCAACTGGTCTCTGATTTCAAAACCTGCGGAGGGTCGTTTTGGGACCCTCTGGCACGTAGTGCACCAGGTCTCTGTATTCGGCCCTTCAAAATGTGTGGCTCGTTCTGCAGGAAACATTCACCACGATAATCAAATCTCTATGTGCTGTTATCGGGCTGTCGGTTTCCTGAGAACTGTTCTGCTTGACCCTCATACGTCAAATTCTACGGGAGAGTCGACTATATATATATACAAACATTTCACATTTAAACTTGCCTTGATAAAGTCGGATTGACAAAACGCGTCGGCAATGACTAAGAAAGATAATATTTTCCAATTGTCTTTTTATCCAAATTGTCTGGTCTTCAGAATTATCAGAGAAATTAAACAATATATATATATATATATATATATATATATATATATATATATATATATATAAATATAAATGGATATAGATCCGATATAATATAAAAATTTGGAAAAACAAACAAAATCCTTAAATGCATTTTAAACAACATAATTGCATTTAAATGTTTTTATTTCCAAATTTTTTTATATATATATATATATATATATATATATATATATATATATATATATATTGGGAATGAAACTCACCAGATGTGGGGATTTAGAGAGATACATGTTAAAGAGGACGTGCTTAACCTAAAAGGGAAAGGAAATCCTTGCTTAATTGGTAATACTCTTTGTATCTATCCGAAGAGTAAAACACACCAAATTACGCGCTGGTTCCTCCTACAAAGAGGGACTAGGTGTGGTTCCTGCCGGAGAGCACATTTTCTTTATTAAGACTTCTTGAATACACTATTACGATAGACGTAATATACACTGTTTAAAATCAAAATTAAAATATAGCGTCCATTTCAAGTACGAGTATCCACTAAAATGACGTTTCGATCAAGTAATATATATATATATATATATATATATATATATATATATATATATATATATATATATAGTTTATGAAAAACTAGGTAATCCGTATGGTAGACCCAAGGAGGATAAAATCAGAGAGCTCAATGTAAATCCAGAGCAAATAATTTAAATAAAACAGACCACTTTAAGGTTCCATGTAATAAATTATTTCACCACAGCCCCTTTAAAGGACTGCAGATCATCAGACTTTACTTCCAAAGGTTTCAAAGGTTATATTTCGGCAGCAATAATTCTTTCAAACAAGTTAGGTCTATGAATTTTTCATTCATTTTTTTAAATTTACGAATAAGTTTTTTATGTTATCGGTAAATTTGTCAAAGTTCAAATGGCCAAACAAAATTTTGATGTGTACTTTTTTTGATTGCGCTAAAATTTTATATAGGTCACAGTGCAACGAAAGACACTAAATTATGTCAGCTGTTGTAATAAAAAAGTAAGCAGTCATCATTAAGTTGTCTTTCTCCGTAGGGGAGCGTACATTGAAGTGTGTTCAAAAAATACACATGAACAAAAATTCAGTTTGGCCGTTTAAATGACGTCACGATGAGTGACTTGAAATTGGTTCCATCAAATGGGAGGAATGTCGAAATTAAATAAAACCGTTGCGTAAATGTACATAGAACAATACTGGAAAACGAACGTTGCAACATTCGAAAATACTCGGAAAAATAATGTAAAATAAAATAAATATGAACTTTGGCAAATTTACCGATAATATAAAACAACCAATTCGGAAATTTCAAAAATTTAACAAAACAATTGATAGAGAGAACTTGTCGATATTATATATATATATATATATATATATATATATATATATATATATATATATATATATATACATGTTTCATTAAATAATATAGACAAGTTTTGACTATTTTTAAGCAAAATCCTTTCATCACGTCTAATAAGCGTAACATTATCATTGAAAGACGAAAGAAAACCGCCATGATAATTGTGAAAATGCAAATTGAAATACATATATATATATATATATATATATATATATATATATATATATATATATATATATACGCGTGTTTGTGCATTGTATTATTATACATATCTCTGAGTGTATATATCTATTTTAAAGCATTTGTTTATTTGTCTTTCCTTCCGTCTCAAGACGAATTTATTTTCACTTCTTAATGAAATGAGGCAAATGAAGATAGAAAATTCCGCTGTTTTGCGCATGCGTTCATCCATTGAGAGAGAATGAGAGAGAAAGACAGAGAGATAGAGAGAGAGAGAGAGAGAGAGAGAGAGAGAGAGAGAGAGAGAGAGAGAGTCTCGGTCTCGTCATCTCTCTTGCCTTTGCGCCAGTCACTAATCCCTTTAGCTCGACGCAAAGCACGATGGGACGTGTGGGCTGTTATCACTCTGGATAAAGCCCCAG